GTCCCAGGTGTCCCAGGTGTGTCCCAGGTGTGTCCCAGGTGTGTCCCAGGTGTCCCAGGTGTCCCAGGTGTGTCCCAGGTGTGTCCCAGCTGTCCCCAGCTGTCCCAGGTGTGTCCCAGGTGTGTCCCAGCTGTCCCAGGTGTCCCCAGCTGTCCCCAGCTGTCCCCAGGTGTGTCCCAGGTGTCCCAGGTGTGTCCCAGGTGTCCCAGGTGTCCCAGGTGTCCCCAGATGTGTCCCAGGTGTCCCCAGCTGTCCCCAGCTGTCCCCAGCTGTCCCAGGTGTCCCAGGTGTGTCCCAGCTGTCCCCAGGTGTGTCCCAGGTGTTCCCAGGTGTGTCCCAGCTGTCCCAGGTGTGTCCCAGGTGTCCCAGCTGTCCCCAGCTGTCCCAGGTGTGTCCCAGCTGTCCCAGGTGTGTCCCAGCTGTCCCAGGTGTCCCAGGTGTGATCCAGGTGTGTCCCCTCACCTGCAGCCGGGCCGGGCCCTGCCCGGGTTCCAGCCAGGTCCCGAGGCAGCAGCGCAGCCCCGGCAGCAGCAGCGGCACCTGGGGGGGCAGAAATTGGGGATTTGGGGGATTTGGGGCATTTTGGGGGCTTTGGGGCATTCTGGGGGGTTTGGGGCATTTTGGGGGGTTTGGGGAATTTTTTAGGTTATTTTGGGGGTATTTGGGGGGATTTTGGGGTATTTTGGGTTATTTTTGCAGGGATTTTTGCGGGGATTTTGGGGTATTTTGGGTTATTTTTGGAGGGATTTTTGGGGGGATTTTGGGGTATTTCGGGTTATTTTTGCAGGGATTTTTGGGGGGATTTTGGGGTATTTTGGGGGGATTTTGGGGTATTTTTGGAGGGATTTTGGGGCATTCTGGGGGGTTTGGAGCATTTCTTAAGATTGTTTTGGGATGATTTGGGGGGATTTTGGGGTTATTTGGGGTATGTCGGGGTAATTTTGGGTGGTTTTAGGGTATTTTGGGGTGGTTTCAGGGTATTTTTGGGGGTTTTTGGGGTACCTTGAGGCAGGGGGGCTGAGGCCGTTTTGGGGTGGTTTTGGGGGTATTTTTGGGTGGTTTCAGGGTATTTTTGGGTTTTTTGGGGTACCTTGAGGCAGGGGGGCTGCAGCCGTTTTGGGGGGATTTTGGGTGTATTTTTGGGTGGTTTTGGGGGTATTTTTGGGTGGTTTCAGGGTATTTTTGGGTGGTTTTAGGGTATTTTTGGGTGGTTTCAGGGTATTTTTGGGTGGTTTTAGGGTATTTTTGGGTGGTTTCAGGGTATTTTTGGGTGGTTTCAGGGTATTTTTGGGGGTTTTTGGGTGTATTTTTGGGTGGTTTCAGGGTATTTTTGGGGGTTTTTGGGGTACCTTGAGGCAGGGGGGCTGCAGCCGTTTTGGGGGGGGGTGGCAGCGCAGCAGCAGCACCAGGTTGGGGGTCGGGGGGGCCCCCCCGGGCAGCAGCACCCCCAAAGTCAGGCGCAGGCGGGGCCCCAGCCCCTGCACCTGGGGGGAGAAAACTGGGGGGTCAGGGACCCCAAAAACCCTCCCGGGGACCCCAAAATCCCCCCGAGAAATCCCAAAAATCCCCCCAGAAATCCCAAAACCCTCCCAGGGACCCCAAAACCCTCCCAGGGACCCCAAAACCCTTCCGGGGACCCCAAAAAACCCCAGAAATCCCGAAAATCCCCCCAGAAATCCCAAAATCCCCCCAGAAATCCCCAAACCCTCCCGGGGACCCCAAAACCCTCCCGGGGACCCCAAAAAAACCCCAGAAATCCCAAAAATCCCCCCAGAAATCCCAAAACCCTCCCGGGGACCCCAAAACCCTCCCGGGGACCCCAAAACCCTCCCGGGGACCCCAAAAAAACCCCAGAAATCCCAAAACCCTCCCGGGGACCCCAAATCCCTCCCGGGGACCCCAAAACCCTCCCAGGGACCCCAAAATCCCCCCAGAAATCCCAAAATCCCCAAGGGACCCCAAAATTTCCTCACGGACATCCCCAAACCTCCCCCCCACCCCAAGAGACCCCAAAATTCTCCTCACGGAGGGACCCCCAAAACCCACCCCGAGAACCCCAAAAGTCTCACAAAGAAACCAAATTCCTCCCTGGGGACCCCCAGATTCCTCCCTGGGGACCCCAAATCCCGCGGGGACCCCCAGTTTCACCCCAGGGACCCCAAAATTCCTCCCTGGGGACCCCAAATCCCGCAAGGACCCCCAGGTTTCACCCCAGGGACCCCCAAAATCCTCCCTGGGGACCCCCAAATTTCCCCCCGGGACCCCAAATCCCGCAAGGACCCCCAGGTTTCACCCCAGGGACCCCAAAATTCCGCACAGAGACCCCCCAAATTTCCCCCCGGGACCCCTAAATCCCAGGGGACCCCCAAATTCCCCCTAAAGGAACCTTTAACCTCCCCCAGCCCCCCCAATTTTAGGCTCCCCCCCCCCCCAGCACCCCCATTTTTTTGGGGTGCCCCCCAGACTCACGGTGGCCGTCAGGGTGAGGGGGGGGTCCCCCACTTTGGGGGCGGCGCCCCCCCCCAGGGCTCGGGCCAGGCCCCGGGCGGCCCCCAGGCGCAGCCCCCCCAAATCCTGCTGGAAGCGCCCGTGCATGCCTGGGGGGGTGGGGGGCACCCATGGGTGCTGCGGAACACCCCCCACCCAAAATTCGGGGATTCCTCCTCCCCCCCCCCACCAAGCACCCCAAACCC